TTTCTACAGGTTCAAAACCAACTGCATCATTAAAAGACACGTTCATGGGGCGCCTGGGTGGCGCAGTCGGTTAAGCGTCCGACTTCAGCCAGGTCACGATCTCGCGGTCCGGGAGTTCGAGCCCCGCGTCAGGCTCTGGGCTGATGGCTCAGAGCCTAGAGCCTGTTTCCGATTCTGTGTCTCCCTCTCTCTCTGCCCCTCCCCCCGTTCATGCTCTGTCTCTCTCTGTCCCAAAAATAAATAAACGTTGAAAAAAATAAAAAATAAAAAAAATAAAAGACACATTCATTTTTGTTGCTATAGACAAGAATCATTTGCATGACCATCCATTTTCCATGACTTCTCTTCCTACAGAGTTGTAAAATAACCTACACAGTACAAGGTCAGTCAAAAGACACCCTATAAAGTCAAGATTCCTCTTGACAATGGCCAGCACCACACTGAAATGATATACAGTAATTTCTTTTGCCCATTTCCAAGTGTTAGACAATTTTTCCAGACATTCCTCTGATACTCCCCCTGCTGCAGTCACCTTAGTCTCCTACTGGCGCTCTAAATACCAGAGTGCCCCAGTGTATCTCCAGCACTGATCTCTCCGATTCCAGACTCTTAATTGCCTACATCCACTGTTCAACTCTAGTCTAAGCCATCATCATCCCTTTCTAGAACTATTCTTTAAGGCTTTCCATTGGCCTATGTGTTTGTGCTCCAGTCTTCTGCAGTTAATTCTCCACTCAGCAGTGACAGTGATCTTTTGAAAGCATTCCTTCCCTCCTCTGCTTAAAAACACACCAATGGTTTCTCCTTGCAACCAGAATAAAACCCAAGCTGCTCTCAGCTCCTGAGGGCCCCATGTGATCTCACCTTTCCTACTCCATTTCTCTTCCCTTCCCTCCCCTCTCTTCCCCTCCCTTGACCGTGCACTAAGTGAAATTAGTCTTCTTTGTGTACCACGAATACACCAAACTTTTTCAGAGACATTGTACTCGGGGTCCTTCTCTGGCAAGGATAGCCTCAATGTCATTTGGATCTCGATGTAAATGTCACTTCGGAGATGGCTTCTCCAACCACCTTAGCTAAAGTAGCTCATACGCCCAGTCTCTCTAGTACTTTACCCTATTTTATTTTCTTCAGAGCTCCAATTAGTGTCAGAAATCTTACCATCAATCTGTAACTATTCTTCCTTTCTAGGATGAAACTTTCTTGAAGGTAAGAACTTTGCCTTGTCTTCTACTCTGTCCTAGTACTTACAATGGTACCTAGCACAAAGCATGTGCTCACTAAATATTTGCTTACTTACTGAAAGAGGGTTCATCACTATCCTCCCGTGATTTCGTAGAAAGCCTGTAGGAAACAAGATGGTAGAAAAGCAAAAAGTCTTTGTTAGAAATGCAAAGTAAAGACTGGCTTTGAGAGAAGGTGAAATGCTACCCTCCTCTGTGGTTGAATTGAAATGGTGACACTTCCTTTCCTCCATATTCTTGTCTCCATCTTTCCCCACCACAGGGGCATATAATATTTAGGGAGAAGGCAGGAAGGAACTTAACTTTGGAGAACAAAAGAAGTCTCCTTAGCTCTTAGGAGGCCTTGAAAGGGGCGGGCTTTGGTAGGGATTTTCAGTTTGGGAAGATGAAAAAGTAGGTTCTAGAGATGGATGGTGTGATGGTTATGCAATAATGTAACTATACGTAATGTCACTGAATTATACACTTAAAATAGTTAAGATGGTAAATTTATGTATGTTTTATCACAATTTTTTAAAAGTGGGAAGGGAGGCTAGGGCTTTCTATATAAGCTCTGTGGTTCAGTAGGTCCTATTGATGGGCTGGTATATTCTTTTAAGATTCCTGATTTTAGCATACGAGTTAGGTTAAAATTGTACCTTGGTTAGAATTTCTGAGATAGCCAGGGCTTCTAGAGGCTGGAGAAAGTTGAGAAATTTTGGCCCTGTTTTTTCTCTCTTCTTTATTTAAGGAGGCAGATTGCCATGGGAAGTACCTTTACTTCTGGAAGGCTAGAGAAGACATGGGAGAACTCCAGAAGACAAGTAGTAAGGACCTGGCTTCCTCAGAGGCCTCAGAGCAGAGTGGGAAGGAAGGGGCCTCAGTCACTTAGCTCTGTGACTGTGGACCAAGTCATTTAATCGCTAAAAGTGGAGTTTCCTGACTTGTAGGAGTGTCAGGAAGAGAAAAGGTCACATGTCCAGCACAAGTGTCTGCTGTATAATAAGTGCTTTGATTGTTAAGGACTTGCGCACTGCATAAGGTAGGCTAGAATTGTCTGATGGAAGCATGAAAGCAGAAACTTCAGTTCTTACTTCCTGGTTTCCCAGGCCATCCACCCCACCACCCTAAACGAGAAGTCGGGATTCTCAAGCCCAGTTTCAGAATAAAGATTATATGGAGGTTTGGGACTTCTTGGTGCTGTATCTCTCAAGAATCTAAAGCATCGTAGAATAGTATGATGTGAGGTATACCGTTGTGATGGGGACTTTCTGGGTTTTGTGTTGATGGTGTTGAGTTAGAAAACTGAGTTCTTCTCCATGAATGACCTGCTCTGTTGCAATAAGTTGCAACTGGTACCTTGGTCAGGTGGGAGTGTACAAATGTAAAAATTGATCAAGCCGCATGCTTCTTCCCTGTATACTGTGTGGACTTCATAGCTCGCTTAAAAAAGAAAGAAAGAGACCAAGAAATGGGCTCCGTTACACATACTTTTAGAAGGGATCATTGTTTTCAGGTTTGACTCACAGAAACATTTAACAGAGGAGGTGAAGCTGGGGAGGGGGGTAACGCTAATGTGAAAATGTCCATATAAAGCATTAATTTGGAGAAACCATCATTGGAATAATTAAGAGGAGGCAGTGATCATATAAGGACAGATTTTGATTACTTCCTATCTTTATATTCTAGTTAGAAGTACCCATGGAGAACAGTGAAAACTCAGTGGATGCAAAATCCATTAAAAATTCCGAAACGTGAGTATTTCTAATACTATCTTTATAATCAGAGAAAGGCACGTGTATGTGATACAGCGAACTTTGAGAAGCAAGGAAACAGAAAGGCCTTTCAAACCAGAGACACCCAGCCAGCTCCTTACCTCAGCAGCTGTGTGGCTCCACATGTCTACTTAGCCTCCCTGAATCTTGTTAAAATCAAACTTTCACGAAACTATGGGGAGGATGGGGGGAAAGACGAGGTACAGTGCCTGACCCACAGTCAGAGACCCCAACCTGGAAGCGGGACGCGACAGGAAGGGCAGAACTTGCAAATCTGGATGGTTCTGTGCTTCCCTAAATCCTTCTGGAGCTTCTGTGTTTGGGGGAGATTTTTGGCGTCGTGTTTATCTCTGAGTGACAAGACTAAAATGAAATGGCGATTCCGAGTCTAGGGAAGAATTGCCTGGTTTTAGATGATCTTGTACCCTTTGTTTTTCTGTCTTCCTTTTTGCAATATTTTACATATTAATGTTTCCCATAACCAGATGTTGGAGAAAGAAAACAGATAAAACTCAAAACACCATTAATTTAATTCATGTCATTATCCATTTGCAATCTCTTGGAGAACTTTGAATTCTAAAATTTCTTTCTGAGACCTGATATTACTATTTTGGACCACCCAGGGAAGTAGTAGTTTTAGTACTAAATAAGAGTATTATAGAACTATTAACAGGTTACCAATAAAGATTTAGTGGTGTCTGTTTCACTAAGGAGATTTCCTAGAAACTAAACTTTTGAAATGCACTCTCCTTTTAGAGGGTTTGGGGATTTTTTTAAAAACCTTTTTAAATGATACATGCATCTTCCTACCTTTTCATATCATATAGAATATAATTTTTTTACCGTTTTTATTCATTTTTGAGAGACAGAGAACATTAGCAGGGGAGGGGCAGAGAAAGAGGGAGCCACAGAATCCGAAGCAGGCTCCAGGCTCTGAGCTGTCAGCACAGAGCCCAACGCGGGGCTCAACTCATGAACTGTGAGATCATGACCTGAGCCGAAGTCAGGACGCTTAACCAACTGAGCCACCCAGGTGCCCCTAGAATATAATTTAGTAGCAAATTGCATGGGAGCCCAAAACAGATTTAGGTCGTTTTTGTCCTGTGCTAAGTTATCCTCACGTCCCTTGGTTTTTTGAGTCTCTGCTCTTTATCAGGCAGCCCCCTCCCCCCCACCCCAGCTCCCCCAGCTCCCCCAGCCTGGCTATCCTACTGCCTCCTAGGAGGCAGCAGGAGGTGGAGAATTACTGTTCTGGGATCCATTATCTATATGGTCTCCAACAAGTCAGTCTGCTTTCAGAGTGTTGATTTTCTCACCTGTAAAATGTGGGGATCTTCACCTCTAGCTAAATATAATAGTTCCTTTCTGACCTTGACTGCTTTCATGTACTATTTTCATCTTTTTCCAACAATGTTTTTAGAATTGCATGTAATTGCATGTAATGAAATACTCCCCGGTTAAAGGCATGAGTACATGCACTTTAGGTATTGAAGTTTGGCTGTTCCTAGACCTGGTATTTACTGATTCTTGGGCTAGATCAGGGTTTGGGCTTCCAGTCTATTTTGGTCAAGTATTATTGGAATGTAGCCACACACTTTGACTTACATATTGTCCTGGGCTATGTTCACCAGCAGAACGGAGGAGCTACAAAAAACACTGTATGAACTGCAGGCCTCAAATACTTGATATTTGGCCCTTTTGGAAAAAAATAAAAGTTTATTGACCCTGATCTAGGATTAACAGAGGTTTAGCGACTTTCAGACAAGTATTTTCCAGTTATTTACAACAGTGATTTTCTGTATTAACTATTAATTTGTTTAACTCATGGCATTAAGGAACAATTTAGGAATTGTGGTAAATATTGTGCTTCAAGTCATATATGCATTTTGTTGCTTTCCTAGCATTTCAGGGTAATTTTTAAGACGTTGCTCCTACCTTGAAAGGTAAAATATCTCACAACATTACAAGAAATTTAAAATGTTTAAAGCATAAAATGTATGTGATGAAATTCTATACAATTTAGAGGAAAACCAAATGTGGAGATTAAAAGCCTGGACTCTGAAGTCCAACAGGTGCTCTTGGCCTCGGTCCTGACACGTTATCTGCATAACCATCTGCACATTAGCCTCACAACAGTCACTTCCTCATCCGTAAAATGGTTTCTTGTGAAATTTAAATCAGGAAAGGCCCGCAGCACACAGCCTAACATTCACCCAACAAATGTGAACTGTTCGTCTGTGTTATAAAAGTTGTACTGATGTGAACAGCAGCATTGGCCTTTCTATCTTTGTAAACTGTTTTGATTTCCGAGCAGAAAGATCTTCCATGGAAGCAAATCAATGGACTCTGGAATATACATGGACAACAGTTACAAAATGGATTACCCTGAAATGGGTTTATGTATAATAATTAATAATAAGAACTTTCATGAAAGTACCGGTATGTATCACAACCCAATTTTTAGCCCTTTTCAAATATTGTACTATTTACATTTGGTATAATTTTAAAAATAGAACCGATGCTATTAGTTAGTAAACGATAACACAGAATAACCACAAAGTAAGGATGGAGCGGGACCCTTCATGTCCTGCAATACATTATGAACTCTCCATCTTCTCTATCCACCGTCATAATCTCTCCCTCTTCCTATAGCAGGCCTCCTATCTGTGTGTTGGCTTTTCTGCCCTCGTTTCTTTATCCCCCTGTTCCCTCTTTAAGGCTAATGGAAGGATTCAACAAATAATAGGTAGTAGTATTTTTTCATTCCAGGAATCGTACAGGGCACCTGGTAGGTATTCTCTTGTTTAATTTGCATAACAACCCGGAAAAGCAACCACGGTTAGGTGCTGAAAGGTTGAAATTCTTGCACAGAGTCACACAGATAATTTAATAGCAGAGCTGGGACTTGGCCGTGGTGTGCCCAACCACGCCCCCAGCCTGAGCTCTCAATCCACCTCCTGGACTCCTTCACCTGTTTGTATCTTCACTTGCTCTGTTGACTTTTTCCTTTCCCCCTACAAAAATGACAGAGCCCCATTTGAAAGAGACCTTTCTTTTACCCTGCTTCCTCTTAAGCTTTGATCTCATTTTTGTCTCCTCTAAATTTTGAAAACATGTACTTCAAGCTTGCTGGTTTCACTTCTTTCCATCCCTCTTGAATCTGTTTCCTCCACTACCTCTCCACTGAAACTGTTCTCTTAGATTCACCATGGCCTGATCACCAAATCTCCTTCCCAGCCTCTATGCTGAGTGCCACTTGAATCTACTAATACATTGCAGACTTTATTTTTAGAGAATATAAAAAATAAAATCCCCTACAATCCTAAAAAGCTAATTAATATCTTGATGGATTACTTGATATTTTCTCCTGACCGTTTCTCTTAAAGCTTAATTGTATTCATAATATGCAAGCAGTATTGTATCCTTATTCCTCTTAACGTAATATAAACATTTTTCGTGTTCCTATATAATCTTCAGATTTTTTTCTTTTAATGATCATATAGTATTCCATTTGCTCCATTTGTATAATTTATGATCTGAATGGGCTATTTTTCCACTTCTTCTTTTTTAAATTGATGCTGTGATCATTCTTTGAATTGGCATATCGATCACATTAGAATTGATTTTTAACTAAAGAAATTAGAAGCAGCAGATCTAATTTAGGAAGCTGTCTACCAGAGTGGTGGTGAAAATGGCCAAAAGAAGCCAGGTGGCACTGGAAAGATAAGTGGGCCTTGGTGTTAGATTAGTTATGAAGAATGAGGACACGGTGAATGGGGATGGGTGTCTAAATCTGAATGGCAGCATTTGTATTGCTTTCGGCTGTAAGTTGAGATGCCGCCTTGAACCATCGGACATTCTGTCTCAACATTGCCAGTTATGATGCCCACTTCCGGCAGGATTTTACATTGTTGAATATGTTCTTTAACAACCATAAGAACAAACAACAAACCAGTAGTTTGGCTTTAGAGCAGACTTTAGAGCATTAGAGTGAGCTCTTTTTCTGCTTTGAAATTTGAAGGTCAGGGCCTTGCAGTGATCTCTTGACAGTATCATACTTCCGGTTCTACTATTAAATAGCTCACAGGGGTGCCTGGGTGGCTCAGTCAGTTGAGTGTCTGACTCTTGGTTTAGGTCATGCTCTCATGGTTTGTGGGTTTGAGCCCCGTGTTGGACTCTGTGTTGACAGCTCAGAGCCTGAAGCCTGCTTCGGATTCTGTGTCTCCCTCTCTCTCTCTCTCTCTCTCTCTGCCCCACCCCCTCCCCTGCTCATGCTCTGTCACGCTCTCTCTCTCTCTCTCTCTCAAAAATAAATAAACATTTAAAAAATTTTTAACGTTTATTTATTTTTGGGACAGAGAGAGACAGAGCATGAACGGGGGAGGGGCAGAGAGAGAGGGAGACACAGAATCGGAAACAGGCTCCAGGCTCTGAGCCATCAGCCCAGAGCCCGACGCGGGGCTCGAACTCACGGATCGCGAGATCGTGACCTGGCTGAAGTCGGACGCTTAACCGACTGCGCCACCCAGGCGCCCCTAAAAAATTTTTAAATGGCTCACAACCTAGGACCAGAATTCACTCACCTTGTCACATAGCTGCATGGTACCCTCAGCCTCTCCAGAGTCAAAACTTTGCTAGGCTTATTTTAATTTTATAAAAAATTACATATGGCCATAACAGAAATTTCAGAAACTACAGATTAACAAAAGAAAAACCATTAAAATCACTCATAGTCACACTACACAGAGATACTCTAACAACAATATTTTGGAGGTACAGACATTGAGTCTTTTTTTTTCTATTCATACATGTTAATAACTTACTCATTTCTAAGGTGTGTCCTCCCCAACATTTTAGTATTTTTAAATCTGGGTGCACTGTGCAATCAATCTGCACATTGATGTGGAGGGTACTGTAAAGGAGTGATGAAAGCCCAGGACCCCCAGGTACAGGCCTAACGCGAGCTTTGTCACTTTCAACAAGTACCTGAACCTCTCTGTGCTCCTGTCCCACGTCTGTACAAAAGAAGCTGGTCATAATCATGATCTTGTGGTGTCTGGAAAGGGTTGGAGGAAATTACTCCTAGCAGGATGCCTGGTGAAAAATATTAATGTGGTAGTAGGTTTGTGGGTTTTTTTTTCTGAAAAAATATTATTAAAGTAGTAACATCTTAAAATTGCTGGGAACTTAAAAAAATCCAGTTCCTCTGAGTGTATGAGATGTGTATATGGTTATATATATATATGTGTGTGTGTGTGTGTGTGTGTGTGTGTGTATATATATATATATATCATATTTTTCCTAAACAAAAGTAGTATCCTATATTGTTTTATAGGGTTTTTTTTATACAATGACCATTTCCCATGGTAAAATTTTGTCTACAGAAATGGCAACACAGTATTCCATTATATAAATGAATCCTAATTTATTTAACCAAAGTTCTCCCATTAAGCATTTCAGTTGTGTTTTTTACTAAACAGCTGTGAAAGATCTCCTTATGACCATAACACTGATACAGCTTGTATTATGAAGTGTCTTATATGCCAAGAAACTAAAGAGACTTAGTGTTACCAACAATCAGAGTAACTGAATTTTCTTAACAGCTGAAAAGAAGAATTTATTGCGCTGAATAATTCATACAGAGCCATTACTCTTTTTTTCTTTTTAATGCAATTTAAGTAATCCTTTCTGTTTTCCAGGAATGCCATCTCGGTCTGGTACAGATGTGGATGCGGCGAACCTCCGAGAAACATTCACAAACTTGAAATACGAAGTCAGGAATAAAAACGATCTTACACGCGAACAAATTGTGGCGTTGCTGGACAGTGGTAAGAAATAATGAAGAGTGACCCGCCTTCACGGTCCAACTTTATATGATGGTAGCTGTAATTACAACCATAAAGCATAAGAATGGTGGCGTCATACTGTTTATAAGCCTACATTGTATATAAATGACATAAGAGTAGTCGTGTCCCCCCCCCCCGAAATGGTCTGAGCTGTGCTGTCTGGCACAGGTGGGGCTTCAGTGACCTCTCAGTTCCGTCTTCAAGTCCTTCATCTTTCCCCTGTGCGGTCTCCTAGGAGATGAGTGAGTGAAGTTGTGTTGGGTTTTCTTTGCTTATTTTCCTTACTTATAAACGTTTTTCCAGTTTCTAGAGAAGATCATAGCAAAAGGAGCAGTTTTATTTGCGTGCTTCTAAGCCACGGTGATGAAGGAATCATTTATGGAACAAACGGACCTGTTGACCTGAAAAAATTAACAGGTTTCTTCAGAGGGGATTATTGTAGAAGTCTAACCGGCAAACCCAAACTCTTCATTATTCAGGTAATCTTTCACTGAATAACCTGGTGACGGAGGATTAATCAGGGATTAAGTTACTCGTTTGTGGATTAGCCAATGGATTATTTTTTTCTCCCAGAAGCTACTGAACTAATGTTAACTTTTTTATTCATTTAAACTACCACTTACGAGATCTAGAATAAATGTTCATTTTAGACTTTTATCAAAAATATTCTTCATAGTTAACATCCATTTTTACACAGCCTTTACATTTCTTAGGAATCAGTTATGTGTGTAGGGGTACCTGGGTGGCTCAGTCACGTGAGCGCCAACTTCAGCTCAGGTCATGATTTCAGTTTGTGAGTTCGAGCCGTACATCAGGCTCTAGGCTGACAGTTTACAGCCTGGAGCTTGCTTCAGATCCTGTGTCTCCCTCTCTCTGCCCTTCCCCTGCTTGCACTCTGTCTCTTTCTCTCTCTCTCTCTCTCTCAAAAATAAAATAAATGTTACAAAAAAAGTTAAAAAAGAAATCACAGTTATGTGTATACACACATGGTGTTTTATTTTTATTGTTTATTTATTTTGAGAGAGAGTGAGTGAGAGTGGGCATGAGCGGGAGAGGGGCAGAGAGAGAGAGTCCCAAGCAAGCTCCATGCTGTTAGCACCGAGCCCAACATGGGGCTCAAACTCACAAAGAGTGAGATCATGACCTGAGCCAAAATCAAAATTGGACCCTTAACTGACTGAGCCAGCCAGGTGCCCCACACATAACAGTTTTTTAGTAAATGTTTATTCTCTAACCTCTAGGCCTGCCGAGGCACGGAACTCGACTGCGGCATTGAGACTGACAGTGGTACCGAGGATGACATCGCCTGTCAGAAAATACCAGTGGAAGCCGACTTCTTATATGCGTATTCCACAGCCCCTGGTAAGGGTACAAACAATGAATGTTACCTGGAGATCTTAAACACAAAGAAACTGTTCCAAAGGCTGTCAGGATTTTGATATTCATGAACAGCCAGCGGGGCTGTATTTCAGGTAACTTTAGCTACAGAGAAGTGTCTGAAGGTTGTCTTCAGTGTGAAGTCTGGCTGGAAAATCTGCTGATAGAAGGAAGCATACTTGGACAGTGCCATTCATGAACTTAATGCCAGATAGGAGGCTATAGGGTAATGCAGAATAGCACTATCGTGATTTAGTAGCAGAACACAATATGTACCATTTTGTCACAGGTATTGTGATTGTGAGAGCTTCCTCCACTTCTTGGAATAGGAGAGAGGTATGTTTTCCAGGAATTCTTTGGGAGATGGGAGATAAAAAAGATAAACCTTAATAGTATATGACAAGGGAAAAGAAATGTGGTTTGTGTTAAACCCATCAGCATATAAATAAGTATTGATTGTGTGATTTATTTATTATGCGACTAACTCAGGGTGTCACAAAGTTTGGAAATGGAGGACAGATGCATTTTTTTTTTTAATTTTTTTTTTTTTTTTTTAACGTTTATTCATTTTTGAGAGACAGAGTGTGAGTTGAGGAGGGGCAGAAAGAGGGGGAGACACAGAATCCAAAGCAGGCTCCGGGCTCTGAGCTGTCAACAAAGAACCCAACGCAGGGCTCGGACTCACAGTGTGAGATCATGACCTGAGCCGAAGTCGGACGCTTAACCGACTGAGCCCCCCAGGCGCCGCTGAGGACAGATGCAATTTTTTTTTTTTTAAAGATTTATTTATTTTTGGGACAGAGAGAGACAGAGCATGAACGGGGGAGGGTCAGAGAGAGGGAGACACAGAATCGGAAACAGGCTCCAAGCTCCGAGCCATCAGCCCAGAGCCTGACGCGGGGCTCGAACTCACGGACCGCGAGATCGTGACCTGGCTGAAGTCGGACGCTTAACCGACTGCGCCACCCAGGCGCCCCGTCAGATGCATTTTTAAACGATGTTACATTTTTAAATACGCTCAGTATGATTTCTTTTTGACCTCAGGACATCTTTCCAGGTAAAGTGCTTCTAAATTAGAAGCAGTCGATCCAAGAGTTAATCTGAAAAAAGTACAATAAATATTTTTACCCTTTTTTGGAGTTTTTGAATACTCTCTAATGTCTTTATCATACTTCATTCAGATGCCTCGTAGACGCATTTAGACACTCGAATGTGTGTGCAGACACGAGCAGCTTCTGTCTTGGATGAGTCAATAATCTGACTGCAACACTGTGCTACCCCAGTGGTGCTTCTCACACGTTTGCCTCTGTACCTTCTGCACATTACCCTCTACCCTCCCTGCGGGAAGGGGGACCCAGAGAAGAGAGCTTCCCATAATTCAGCGGGGAAGGTAGTTCACAACTCTTCGTTTCCTCGCCACGAGCAGGGGTATATACACAGCACACTTTTGTCCCCTCTAGTGTCATTTCCCCGGACACCACAGGCGCCATTTCTTTTCTTTTTTAGGGCTGGCCCTGCTTGAGGAAGTGTATGCTTGTTTTCTCCTTGACGATTATGTGGGAATTTATAACATCAGACACTCACGGCATTTTGGTTACATTTTGCCTTGTAGGTTACTACTCCTGGCGAAATTCCAAGGATGGATCCTGGTTCATCCAGTCACTTTGCTCGATGCTCAAACTGTATGCTCACAAGCTTGAGTTCATGCACATTCTTACTCGGGTTAACCGAAAGGTAGCTCTAGAATTTGAGTCCTTTTCTCTTGACTCTGCTTTTCATGGAAAGAAACAGATTCCATGTATTGTGTCTATGCTCACAAAAGAACTATATTTTTATCACTAAAGATGGATGATTTTTTTTTTTTTTTTTTAGTTTGTATGCCAAGGGAGGAAAAGGTTTAACTGCTTTGTTTTCCTCTCTCATTTAGATCTAATCTAATACTTCAAGTGGTATTTTGGAACATGGCACTTTCATAGCAGCAGAATTATGAGGCTACCTCAAACTCAGAATCAGGTAGTTGAAATCAAACTTAATTAGGGATAAATAAAAGTGAATAGTGGCACAATCATTGTGAGGGGAAATGTTTGTAAATTAACTGCTCTCATAATTAGCAAGTTTTAGTGATGCCATGCTATGAATTCTTAAGTAAATACGGAAAACGTTAAACATTGTAGTTAGGAAGTTCAGTGATCCTGGTATGCTGTCATTTAAGAGTATGCACTCTCGTTTTTGTCACACCATAGACCTACTGATGTGGAATAAGGTGTCCTAGAATTGTGGGGACCCATGGACACGGTCAAAGTCTTAAAGACCTACCTTGATTTTAGAATCGGTATTTGGAGATAAGGCCCCTGTACTTTTAGATCATTTGTCTGAGTGCATGGTTTTGTGATGTTGGTCCTGAGCAGGTCTTCTGTGGCAAAAAGTCACGTTTACTATTGAAAAAGAAACTGAGTGTTTTGCTAGAGAGGCAGTGTGCGCAAATTCCGTTGATTCTTGTGAGGCTAGATGCGGCGTCAGTGGAGGGAGACAGGGTCAGAAGTGCGAAGTGCCAGAGAGAGTTCATCCACCAGCATCGCGGTCCTGATGTCTGCGCCCGGGCCCATCCGCTGAGCTCTCACCAGGAGAGCACCTGAAGAGCAGTTACGTAAAAACCTCAAACTGTGGATCGTGCTGATAGCAGCGCGAATTGACGAAATTCTACAGGAATATAATAAAACACACCGGGCACAGTAAACAGTGTCATGCAACGAAGAAGCAATAAATCCATCAGCTGGGTGCTCCATAACTAGGAGATGGTTTGACCTGAGCAGAGACACGGCGGGCACAGCCCGTGTGATGTGATGGAGACGGGGCCACAGACCAGCTTCAGAAAAACCACCGCCAGTTAGTTGTTTCGTATGGACTGGTGCGTGTGGAGGATGAATCTCCAAGAAAGCAAACCAAAGCAGAAACGTCCGAATTGGAAATTTTCCAAAGAAGGTGAGCGTCACAGCCGAAAGCATAGCACGCTTTGTAGTACGGTTTTTAAGCAAGCTATTTTCTGTTGAAGTCTACACAGGAAATGGTCCGGTTATAATCATGTCCTGTTCTCTGAAATGAAAGGCCCACCGCACACAGAACCTGAGACGGCAGCCAGTCTCCCCTCCCCTGGTGCAGGGGAAGGGGCGCTCGGGCAGGCCCTGGGCCGCTGCCGCGTCACCAGGTCTCCCTGGTTTTTCCGTCTCACGTTGCACATAAACTATCTCTTGCTCAAAGAAAGGAACTCACATTTATAATTGACAGCTCTTTGTTTTGACTATGGAACTTTTTGGATAAATGAAGCATGCAATGGTATCTGTGTGACTGTTCTGTAAACTTTTGTTACGATTTTTTATTTCAAAACATAAATTTTAACTTAAAATTACCAACATGGTCAAGTTTTTGTTGTCGTTTCTGATGTTGTGCTACTGACTGTAGTTAAAAACATTTTTAACCAAGGAGCGCCTGGGTGGCTCAGTTGGTTGGGCGTCCGACCCTTGCTTTCAGCTCAGGTTGTGACCCCACGGTGGTGGGATCGTGTCTGGCTCTGTGCTGACAGGGCAGAGCCTGCTTGGAATTCTCTCTCTTCCCCTCCTCTCTCTCTCTCTCTCTCTCTCTCTCTATCTCACACAAATAAATAAACTTAAATTAAAAAACAAAACAAAATGGCGGCACCTGGGTGGCTCAGTCAGTTAAGTGTCGGACTTCGGCTCAGGTCATGATCTCACAGCTTGTGAATTTAAGCCCCTTGAGCCTTACGTTGGGCTGTGCACTGGCAGTGTGGAACCTGTTTGGGTTTCTCTTCCTCCCTCTCTCTCTGCCTCTCCCCTGCTAGTGCTTTCTCTCTGTCTCAAACAAACTAAAAAAAAAAAAAAAAAAAAAAAAAAGAAAGAAAGAAAGAAAAGAAAAGAAAAGAAAGAAAGGGCAAACATGCAGTTTTAAATTTCTTCCAGTATTTCTGTAATACACATATTACACTATAAGTCAGAAAACTAAATTAAATTATCCTAACTGGGAATAGGGGATTCCTATTTCCAAGAAATAGAGGATTTAAAAATAACTTTTTAAAGACTCTTTAAAGCTATAGTTCTGTAATGGGTTGAGAAAACCAGCCCATTCTAATCTCCCTACTATCCAAAGAAACTTGAGATGTTAATAAGAAAAAAAGGACCAAGGGTGTGGACACAGTTCACGGAAAAAGAAAGACCAAATGTCCCTAACACTCACATAAAGAGCTTAACCTCCATCATAATAAGAAAATCAAACATCTGTCCTAAAGTTTGACACCATTCTGTGGGCGAGGCAACAAGGAAATACATTCTCCCACTGGTTGAAGTGCAAAATGGTATAATTCCCTGTGGAGGAGAATCCAGCCATACCTATCAAATTATTTACTCTTTGAGGGGCGCCTGGGTGGCTCAGTCAGTTGAGCGTCCAACTTCGGCTCAGGTCATGATCTCACGATCCGCCAGTTCAAGCCCCGAGTCGGGCTCTGTGCTGACAGCTCAGAGCCTGGAGCCCGTTTCAGATTCTGTGTCTCCCTCTCTCTCTGCCCCTCCCCTATTCATGCTCTGTCTCTCTCTGTCTCAAAAATAAATAAAAACGTTAAAAAAAAAATTAAAAAAAAAAATTTACTCTTTGAAGTAGCAATCTCATTTCTTAAGATTCAAACTACCCATACATCTGTATATGTACAAAGTTATAGGCATAATTATCCATCACAACACTCTTTTCATGGGTAAAAAAATGACAGCGACCCAAGTGTCACGAAGACAGGTGAAATACACTGTGATACAACCACGTGATGGAACATGATTTGCTGTGAAAGAATGAGGAAGATCCTCAACTGATAGGTAAAGATCTCCAACATAGGTGATTAAGTAGAAAAGGATGAAACACAGAACACTATAGATAATATGCTGCATTTTGTGTCAAAAGGGAGAAGGGAGATAAGAATATGCATTTGCCTAAAGAAACACCAGCAGGATTTAAAAACAAAAAAAAAGAAGAAACTAACAAAAATGTAAATGGTGGACGCGGACAGGACAGAAGTGAGATTTCACACGTGTTCAGTATCATTTGGACTGTTGAGGACCATGTCAATGTATTACCTATATCAACTGAGAAAAGAAGCAGAACTTGAAATAAAACAAAAACATTTATTTTGGGTCTCAGAATGGCAACGTGGGAGCACATTTTAGGTGGCAACCCAAATTTTGGCCCCCCAGGGAACACAAATCAGGATTTATTAAAGACATAAGGGGGGCGCCTGGGTAGCTCAGTTGGTTAAGCATCCAACTTCAGCTCAGGTCATGATCTCACAGTTCATGAGTTCGAGCCCCGCGTCGGGCTCTGTGCTGACAACTCAGAGCCTGGAGCCTGCTTCGGATTCTGTATCTCTCTCTCTCTCTCTCTCTCTCTCTCTCTCTCTCTCTCTCTCTCTGCTCCTCCCCTGCTCATGCTCTGTTTCTCTCTCTCTCAAAACTAAATAAACATAAAAAAAAAAAAAGACAAAAGGGAAGGCTTGCATATGTTTGCAAAAAATGTTGATTGGTGTTGACAGCAGAAAACTAATCTTGGCTAACCACGGTTGTTGCTAAGGCTGTCACTCGTTGGTTCATTACGGTACCAACCTGCCCGTGTTCCCTGGAATTCCTTTCCCTGGAATATTTGCTGTTTGGCCCAGTACAGAAGTTCATGGTCCCGCCCAGTGAGGTGTGTGCAGAAGGGCCACCTTGATGGCCTCCCAGCTCCATTTTAAAACCCCTTGACATAAATGACTCCTTTTTATTGCGCCATTCATACCTGCCTTCAAAAGTGAAATTAAATCAAGGGGGGTGGAAATGGCACAAAACTGTTTCAGTAATGAGAACACAAATCAGCACAGAGGGGAACGGTGGGGAGGATACCATACATTCCCAAAAGCCATGTTACAGGATTCTGTTAAGCTTGTTAACTTTCTTTTTTTGCCTCGAACTTTGTAGGTATTAGTTGCAAAATCATAACATGCTTAATATTAGAACTTGACCCCAAAGTAATTCTCAGTTCAGTTTTTTGGTTGTTGTTGAAGGAACACACTAGAATATTAGTTTCTTGATCGATTTTCTACTTGTCATGAAAAGACATAGTAAATATATGATTTCACTCATACGTGGAATTTAAGAAACAAATGAAGAAGGGGGGAAGAGACAAGCCAAAAACACACCCTTAACTACAGAGAACAAACGTGGTTACCAGAGAGGAGGTGGGTGGGAGAAGCGGTGAAATAGGTGATAGGGAATTCAGAGTCCACTTATCATGATGAGCACAGAGTAATGTATAGACTTTTGAATCACTATATTGTACACATGAAACTAATATACTATCCTGTATGTTAACTATCCTGGAAGTAAAATCAAAAAAAAAAAGCACGGGGGCGGGGGACGGGCACCTGGGTGGCTCAGTTGGTTAAACAACTTTGGGCTCAGGTCATGATTTCAGGGTTTGTGAGTTCGAGGCCCACATCCGGCTGGCTGCTGTCAGCACAGGGCGAGGAGCCTGCATCTTCTGCCCTCCCCCTCTCTGCCCCTCTACCACTTGCACACTCTTTCTCAAAACTAAATAAAACACATTAAAAAAAAAAAAAGATAATGAAAAGACCTGTGGAACTGAGATATTTAGGAATATTCAGAAAAGGCAGACATCTCCCTTTCAAGAAAATGTTTTTACCAAATTTAAACTTGGTACAAAAGCTATTAAGGAGCATGTCTGAGTTAAAAGAATCCATTGTCTGATCTCCTTCTGCTTTGTTTTTATGTGACTTTTTTTTTTTAATTTTAATGTTTATTTTTGAGAGAGTGTGTGTGTGTGTGTGTGGGCGTGTGTGTGTGTGTGTGTACGTGCACAGGTGGAACAAAGAGAGAGGGAGACACAGAATCCAAAGCAGGCTCCCGGCTCTGAGCCGTCAGCAGCATAGGCCCACGCGGGGCTCGAACTCACAGACCTCGAAATCATGACCTTGAGCTGAAGTCAGACTCTCAACCGACTCAGCCTCCCAGGCGCCCCTGTGTGACTTAAATGTAAGCTTGGAGACCTGACAGCCTTAGAGGGAAGCATGGTTGGCCAGCATGTTGAATGCTAATTCACTGATTTTACCAAAGAATTTCCAAAAACCCATTTCTGCCTGGCAGGTTTAAGAAGCATTAATGGGGCCACTGTGGCAGGAGGACAGTCAACAAGGGGGAGAGTAGACAAGGTCAAGAGAGAGGCCTTGGAGGTGCTTTGTCTAGAGATGCCACCCAGGGAGAGTACACGTGGGAAGAGGAAGCACCAACATTTGAACACCCAGAAAAGGAGACAAAGGACCACAAACAAAGTCAAAGGTGGGAAAACAGTAGAGGCTGAGAAAGCCACAGGAAGAAACGTTCCAGAGGAAGTGGCCAGTGTGACAAACTACCAAAAATTCAGAGAAAAAAGAAAATTTTTTTAACGGCACTGGATTTGTGACAGGAGGTTATAAGTGAGCCCGACAAAGGGCACTCTGCAAATATTGAGACAGAAGCCAGCTAAGAGTGGATCAATACATCAGTGGAAAATGAAGAAACGGAACTAACAAGTATAAGAAACTTGAGAAATTGGCTTTGAAGGACGGGAGAGAGAGAAGGGAGTTGCTAGAGCAGGAAGTGAGGAAGGGTAAACCTGAACAACTGTGGGAAAGAGGAGGGGAGACTTTTTTTTTTTTAACAGGAAAATGTGAGGCGGGGTGCTGAGGAAGCTAGGGTTACAGTTTTTGTGGCCAGAAGTTCCTTCATAATAGCCTCTATATTTCCTGTGAAGTAGAAGGCAAGGACTCTGCTCCAAGTTAGGGAGGGGACAGTGGGATCAAAGGTTGAAAGAGTAAGAAGAGTTTGCAACAGTCATTGTCAAGAGCGGGAGAGGGAGCTGGGCAGAGAAGCTCAGGAAGGTCTCTGGGGGGTGCTGAGGGCCTCCTCAAGACCAGAGATGATGAATCCACAGTGGCTCCAGCCGCCCCGTTGGCATGATTTTATCTGGTGCACTCAGCTGCTTGGATATTGGCATGCGTTGGTTTTATCCGACTTTGGACCTTTGCCCACATTTGTTAAAAAAAAAAAAAAATTACAGAGGGGGTGCCTGGATGGCTCAGTTGGTTAAGCGTCTGCCTTTGGCTCAGGTCATGATATCATGGTTCATGGATTTTCTCTCTCCCTCTCTCTGCCCCTCCCCTCCCTCTCTTGCAAAATAAATAATAAACTTGAAAAAAAAAATACAGAGGAGCCACAGACTTCAGGATACTGAAAAATGAGTTACTGAATTGATGAACCATAGAATGTGA